CCACTCTAATGGTAGAAAGTGAAGAGGACCTCAAGAGCCTCTTGCTCAGGATAAAAGAGGAGAGCGCAAATGTGGGCTTGAAGCTCAACATCAAAAAAACTAAGATCATGGCATCTGGCCCCATCACTCCTTGGCAAATAGAAGGGGAAGTCGTGGAAGTAGTGACAGACTTCACGTTCCTGGGATTCCAGATCACCGCAGACTGTGACAGCAGCCATGAAATTAAAAGATGCCTGCTCCTTGGGAGGAAAGCGATGGGGAACCTAAACAGCATGATAAAAAGTAGAGACATCACCCTGCCAACAAAAGTCCGCATGGTCAAAGCAATGGTGTTCCCAGTAGTCATGTATGGCTGCGAGAGTTGGACTATAAGGAAGGCCGAGCGCCGAAGAATAGATTCTTTTGAACTATGGTGCTGGAGAAGACTCTTGAGAGTCCCTTGGACTGCAAGAAGATCAAGTCAGTCAATCCTAAAAGAAATCAACCCTGACTGTTCCCTGGAAGGCCAGATAATGAAACTGAAGCTCAAATACTTTGGCCACCAAATGAGAATGAAGCACTCACTGGAGAAGACCCTGATGCTGAGAAAGACTGAAGGTCAAAGAAGACGGGGACGGCAAAGGATGAGATGGTTAGACAGTGTCATAGATGCAACGAACATGAAATCGAGCCAACTTCAGAGGACGGTAGAAGACAGGAAGGCCTGGCATGATCTGGTCCGTGGGGTCGCAAAGAGTCGGACTCGACTGTGCAACTGAACAACAACAACAACAACCACTAAGTGGCAATCTAGACTTGTTTTTAAAGCAAGAGACATTTTAGAGGTCTGCCTCTGCGTCATGCATGGACCCTGGTATTCCTTGGAGGTAGTCCTTCCAAGTAATAGCCAAGGCTGACCCTGCTTAGCTTCAAAGATGTGACCGGATCGGGCTAGCTTGCGCTATCCAGGTTAGGGCACCAAGGAAATGATCATCAATGATAGGAAATTTTGGAGGTCATTAACTCATTATGTCACAAATAAGTCAGAAGTGTCTTGACAACACACATACACGGTTAATGATTAGGAGAATCATGAACACTGAAGCCTCTTATTTGAGATTTTTTCCCCATAGCCATGAGGGCTAGAACCATCAAGATTCCCAAGGAGCCAAATATTGTACTATGCAATTTATTCCACATATACAGAAGAAAAGGCGTAGTGAATAGGAAAATGTCCTGCTAAGATCCAAATCCTTCAAATTACAACAGTCCCAGAGAACCACCACCACAACATGGCTTCCTCTTTTAAATCTGATTGCCAGAAGTGACCCTTCCCGTTAGCAGAAATGCAAGCTAAAGAACTATGTGCTCTGTTGAGCTAAGTTACAAGCAGCAGAAAGCCAAACTGGTTCTTAAAACTAGTTCTGCAAATGAGAGAGGACAATGGAGCTGTACTGAAGACTTCAGTGTATATTGCCTTTTTGGGGGGAGGGGTGCAAATCATTATTCAACTTCTCACTAAGCAATAACCTTTGACACTCAAACTTAAAGTTTTAGCCATCGGAAACCCCCGATTAACCTCTGGCGTGGCGTGGATGAACTTAACACTAGAGGATTTTCCCCTAAGATATTTCATTAGAGCAGCAGGACTGGTCTGGTGCCTACATGTGTAAAGAGAGGCAGGTGGGGGGGACCGTAATTCCAAAGAGCAGAAATTAATAGGATGATGTCATTCTGTCCTTAACAACAGCCTTGAGAGGTAGGATTTGCTGAAAGATGGAAGCCCACCATCACCAAGAGAATTCAATAAGCAAACAAGAATTTTAATTTGTTTCTATCAAGATAAGACTAACAGTCTACCTCAATATGCTTCAAGCACTCAGAATGCCATTCGAAGAAGAGTTACACTTTCTAAGGCCGTGGGCAGATGCCATTGCATCTGAGTCAGGCTACCCCAACCACGGCGTGTTCAAGGAGAGAGACAAGCAGGGGTGGTTAGCAATTCCTTTGTTACTTGGTGAGCTCCCATTCGAGCAGTGACCATGGCCTACCCAGCTTAGCTTCCAAGCTGGGATGAACTCAGTTCAAACTGGTCTGTTCAGGTTGCTAGAATTCACTTTAGAATGGCACTAATAAAGTAGCATCCTGTGATGTAATAGCTTGGAACTAGAAGAACAGACTCAGTCCTACATCTGACCCCAGTTTTTTATGTCATCTATAACTTTTCCTCCCAGAAAGAGGCAGTTGCCTTGTTATTTTTGCCTTCTATTACGTATTTTGCCTTCAATTATGAAGCAATCCTTATAAAAACCAGGCTGTCAGATGTGATTCGCCTGCTAATTTTCAGGTCCTTTTCACCCTTTTGTTACTGTAAACAGGAAGTTAGTGGAATTTTCATCCATACATACTGTTAAATGTCTCCCTTTCACCACTGCTTGCACATGTGAACACAGTTAAGGTTCTTTAGATGGAACCTTGAAGATTCCTAATCACTTTCCTCTGCTGAGAACTTAGGACAGTTAACCTTTAGGGGGCCTCCGGGCCACCCTCCTGTACCCCTCCCTCTGGCTATAGTAGCCTACCTGGCAGGGCTACTGTAAAGATAACAGACACACAGTCTTTAAAGCACTATACAATGCTGAGTATCATTTTAGAAAGCAACCAGAACCTCTTATAAAAGACATTTTCTCAAGGCACCAAAAATGTTTTGCATTCTGCTTGATGCGGCTGTGCAAATAAAGGAGACTAACTTAGCTGCAGAGTACAAGGGATCTAAAAATTAATGCACAAGTCAGTCCTATCTCTGCACTATTCCTTGTTTTGTGTGGCTCACTCTTAAATAAGTGTGCAGAACTGCAACCTAACAGCTTATTTATTAATTAAAATATTTATATCCCACCTTTCATGGTGCTTCAAAGCGGATTATGATAACAATTAAAAACATGTTAAGTTAAAAAAAAGACAACACAAATCTCCCCCTCCCCCCAAAAAAAAGATACCTGCTCATTCTGATCACTCTCAGGGTAGCTCAGAGCAAATCTCAAGGGTTACAGTGGGATTCATTCCCAGCGACTGCAGAACCAGCACTTTTACCAAAAGCCTGGAAGAGGCTGCACAAGAGGTATGCTGAAACACACACGCGCCACTATCACCCTCCGTTTATAGCAACTGCAAAAAACACACACCCACAACAAGGATAGTAGTTTAAAAATTAGACCATTTCAAGTGTTGTAAGAAAACGTTCAGAAAAAATTCTTTAACTACAAAACGAGGTGGTCGGGCGCCAGAAAGCTAAACAGAAAAGGGCACCGCCATCCCCTCCCCACCCCACCCCCGAGGAAGCCCTGCCTCGCGCTCCTTCCACTCGCCAGCCAGCATTTCCAGCATTCACACATGGCAAAGCGCACGTAACAGAAGGCGAGACGGGCGCTAGAGCAACCTCCAGCCCCACCACCTCGGACGCCCGCTGCGTGGGTGCTCGGACACAGAAAAGCAAGCAAGACGCGCTTTTAGCTTTTGAGCTGCGATGGCTCAAAACGCTGAACTGCAGGCTGTGGAAGGTCGGTAGTTCACCAGTTCGAGACCCGAGTTGCCGCATGACGGAGTGAGCTCCCGTCTCCAGTTCCAGCTCCTGCCAAGCTAGCAGTTCGAAAGCAAGAAATTGCAAGTAGATAAATAGGTACCACTTCGGTGGGAAGGTAACCGCATTCCGTGCGCCTTGGTGTCTAGTCATGCCGGCCACATGACCACGGAAACGTCTTCGGACAGCGCTGGCTCTTCGGCTTGGAAACGGAGATGAGCACCGCAGCCCTAGAGTCGGACTCGACTGGCTTTCGAGCAAGGGAACCTTTACCCCCGTCTGAGAGGGGGAGGCCGAGAGGAACCGTACACCCCACACCGAAGGCTGCCCGGTAATAGGTCATTCCTTTACAAGCTCAGGCCAGCCGGAAACTTTGACCGTGACCTTTCCAGAACCGTCCTAACCCGCCCCAAGGAGCCGCCCTTCTGCGGCGCACACGGCAAAAAGCGCCCCCCGGGAAGGCCAAAGCCCCTTCGCCTGCGGGGAGGAAAGGAAGAGAGTCGCTCACCGCGATTCCAAAGCGGCTCCACCGAGAAGACCCGTCGCCTTTTAAGCATCTCCCGCGAGGAAGGAGCGGCGCCCCGGGCAGGTCCGGTCCTCCTGGCTCAATCGGCTGCCTCCAAACTTTCCCTCCGCTACTTGGAAGGAGATAAGGGGTCTAAGACCGCCTCCCGCGCGTCCCTCCGTGATTTATACAGGGAGGGGTCCGAATGACGCGGCTGGGTGGGGACACTCCCAGGGGAACTTGAGACACACACCCCCCGACCGGGAAAGGGCGCCGGGATCGCTCGGCTGGGTGTGCGGGGGAGACGGCGGCAAGGACCTGCAAGGCGAAGGGGCGGGTCGGACTCGTGGCACGCTGCTGCAGTGCGCGCAGCCCGGTCCAGCTTGCGTCTTTCCTCGGAAATAAGTTGCACCGAGATTAGTGAGACCCCTAAACTCGCCGGGGTTTGGAGCCGCAGTCTTTCCAGAAAGAAGCAGCGAGTTGGGCGTTACCGAAAAAGTGTCGTCGGAACGCAGCGATAAATTTATTGCACGCCAGGACATTTCTCTTCTTTCCCCTTCTAGAAGCGATTTTCCCATGCCCTAACCCGGACCTTTACCAAACAATGTTCTGCTTATGAATCCTCCAGTTTTCTGAAATGCTAAAGCCGTGGCTAGAACCAGCAAGCGGGTGTGCTCAGTGAATCAGATTGACTTTTTTTCTCTCCCTCTCTCGGTTTTAAAAATGGTTTTCGTTTGTTGCGCAAGTATGCTGCATAGAGTTTGAGATGTAAAAACCAAGTCACACCTCAGCCGAGAAAATCACTAGCACTGCTGCAATCCCATAGGAGTAAGAGTGGGACTTAAAAGAGTGGGACTTAATTCTGACTAAAGAAGAGGGACAGAACTGCGTTGCTTTACCAGCTCTCTTCCACCCAGCTCTTGGGTCAGTCTTCCCGGCTATCCGTTTGCTAATAGTCTGACCAGCCATTGCCATTAACAGGTGATAATGTTCAGCTTTATGCCAGGAAAAGAACCTGCTGATTGCTGCATATAAAACATCTGTGAAAGAGAGGCAGAGAAGTCACACTTGTTAGCTCTATTCCCACATCCTTCAATGGGGACTACCACAGTGATTTTAGCTGATATGTAAGGGTTAGTAAACCTACTGATGAAGTATTTTGAACATGTCATGAATTCTATTTCAACCAGATTGCATGTTTAACAGCATAGGAATTACAGGGCCTCAAACTGCATCTCACTGATACTGCTCATGTGAGCCAGCTGTGTTCTTCAGGCAGCCTTCTCCTGGTGGCTGCTCCTGTGGCAATAAAAAGGTCTCTCCTTCTTTGGAGGTTTTCAAACAGAGGCTAGATGGCCATCTGTCAGTAATGCTGATCATGTGAACTTAGGCAGATCATGAGCGGGAGGGCAGGAAGGGTTGCATCAGTACTTCGTTCTTATGGCCCTTTCTTACACGCCCAGGGAAATGCTGATTGCCACCTAGGGTCAGGAAGCAATTTTTCTCTAGACTAGTTTGGGATCCTGGAGATTTTATTTTTTGTCATCTTCTGGGTGTGGAACAGCAGACACTGGGGTGCGGGGGGGGGGAGGTATTTGTGAATTCCCTGCATTGTGCAGGGGGTTGGACTAGATGACCCTGGAGATCCCTTCCAACTCGGATTCTATGATAGCTGGGTCATTTTTAAGGTGCTGAGTCCAGTCCCTTAGCATGGCCTGTTAGAGTGGGCGCAGAGGGTGCCTTCACTCACTACAGTTTGGAAAGCGTGTGAGGCAGTTTTATTCCAGCGGCCTTTTGGCAGAGAATAAATTGCTTTGGCTGCATGCTTTTTAATGTTGAATGTTTTGATTCTGTGCACTTTTTAAAATGTGCATTTTTAACCTGTGCATTTTAAATGTCTTGTTAATTGGGCTGTTATATTTTGTCTCCTGATAAGATGGTGTTTTTTAATTCGTTTAAAACATTTGTTAGCCGCCTCTCTCCCTTGCAGAACTCAAGGCGGCTTAAGATATAAATAAAGCATTATGAAAACACAATAAAAATAACAATTATATAACCTATAAAAGTCACAGATTAAAAACTCCAAGTAGAACTGCCAATAATGAAGAAGAGATTGGATTTATACCCCTGTCCTTTACTACCTAAAGGAGTCTCAAAGTGGTTTACAATCTCCTTCCCTTTCCCTCCCTTCCCCACAACAGACACCCTGTGCGGTAGGTGTGGCCGAGAGAGCTCTTTCCAGAACTGCTCCTGAGAGAACAGCTCTGAAAGAACTTGTAACTGACCCAAGGTCACACCAGCAGCTGCATGTGGAGAAGTGGGGAATCAAACCCAGTTCTCCCAGATTAGAGTCTGTGCTGCTAACCACTACACAAAACTGAATGAAAGCTAAACCAATGAGTATGCAGTCCTAAATAAAACTGTCTTCAACTGCCTCCTGAAGATCAATAGTGAGGGGACCAGGAACAGCTCCCTAAGGAGGGTGCTCCATAATTGTGGGGCTGCCACAGAAAAGGCCCTCTCTCGTGACTCCACCAAACAAGCATCTTTAATTGTGAGACAGTCAGGAGGATATCTTGCTCCAATCTTAATTCCCAGGCAGGAAAGTATGGGAGCAGATGGTCCTTGAGATACTCTGGTCCCAACCCGTGTAGGGTTTTAAAGGATAAAACCATCACCTTGAATTGGGCTTGGGAACAGATTGGTAGCCAGTGTAATCGCTGTGGTTCTGGGGACATAGGCTCCCCATCGCTGGCTGACACCAGCAGTCTAGCTACAGCATTCTGCACTAGCTGCATCTTCCAAACACTCTTCGGGGTAGCCCCTTTGTGAGTCACTGCATTGTGAAGTGTTGCCTTGTGAGTCACTTTTAAGTCTGAGGAGATAAGGTGAGGGTATAAATACTTTAAACAAATTTCTCAAAACCAGACAAATCTGTTTAGGATGGCACAGTTAGTCCCCACCACAACAGCAACAGGGACGAATTTGCCAAGGGACTGAAATTCAAACTAAGGTCCAAGCATGGGGAAAGAAGTAGGGGGAGCTGAGTATTTTCTCAAAAATTCCTTTCCAGAAGTTTCTGGTCCCATTCTCAGTTTGTAGGGGAGTTGCCATGCTAGAATCAGTCACAGGTTAAGAATTTGTTTATTAAAACATCTGTGTGTTTGTAAAGTACCATCAAGTTGCAGCCAACCCATGGCACCCCTCATGGGCTTTTCAAGGTAAGAGACATTCAGAGGTGATTTGCCATTGCCTGCTTTTGCGTCACAACCAGTGTTCCCTCTAAGCTGAGTTAGTGTGAGCTAGCTCACAGTTTTTTAGCCTCTGGCTCACAGATTTTTGTCTTCACTCAGGAAGGAAGGCTCCAGAGCAAACTAATTTACGCAGTAACCAAATCCTTGCTTACAACTTTAATGCCAGGAGCTCACCAAGTAGAATTTTTGCTCACAAGACTCCACAGCTTAGAGGGAACATTGGTCACAACCCTGGACTTCCTTGGAGGCCTCCCATCCAAATACTGACCAGGGTTGACCCTGCTTAGCTTCTGAGTTCTGATAAGAGCAGGCTATTCTGGGCCACATTTGTACCCCACTTTTCTCTTGTGGCTGAAAGCAGTATACTGTTCCACAATTTAAAACAATGCAAAGTACGATAAACTCGCATTCATTCTCCGTCTCCAAAAAAAAATGCCTGCAGCTTAAACCCCATTAAAGCCCGCACAAATAAAAGAGCCTTGCAGCACCTCCGTAAAAGTTTCAGAGGGCATCTGTGTCGGTCTACAGTAGAACAGCTAGATATTAGTCCACTAGGACCTTAGAAAGCAACAAGATTTTCAGGGTATAACCTTTCAAGAGTTAATGGTCTGATGAAGGGAACTTTGATTCTTGCAAGCTTATACCTCCCAAATCTTGTTGGTCCTAAGATGCTACTAGACATATCTTAGCTGTCCCTAGAAGTTGGCTCCCTCTCATCTCCTCAGAGAGCCTGTTCCACACAAGGTGAACATGCACCTGAAGCTGCCTTATACTGAATCAGACCATTGGTCCATCAAGGTCAGGACAGGAGCAGGAAGTGCTTCCCCAAGAAGCTGAGGAGAAGGGGCTGTGGCACTTCAGGCTTCCCTGATGAAGAGAAGAACAAAGCCCCACCTAAGGAGTCGCGCCGTTGGAAGCAAGCTCGATCTCCAAGTTTGTTTTAATGCTTCAGTTGCAATGCTTCACTCCCCCCCACCTCCACTTGTAAATTGGAGAGGGCTCTACAAAGAGAGAAATAGTTGTTTGGAGCCAATTGCGATTTCCCCAGTTGCCCTGGGATTAATTTAATTTAATTAGTGCCCGCCCCCCCGCCCCCGAAAAAAAATCCTGGCTACAGGGCTGTCAGTACTGTTTATTCAGACTTGGCAATGGCTCTCTAGGCAGAGGTCTTTCACATCACATCACGTGATTCTTTACCTGAAAATACCAAGCAGATGCTCTACCACTGAGCCACAACCCTTCCCTGAGCCATTATAGAGGAGTGGACTGTAGTAGATGCCAAGCAGGCCACCTTAAGTGGGGGAACAACTAGAAGATAGTAATCAAAAGACCAGAGTTGGTGCACAGGGATATATGCTTGCTGCTTTTTGCTAGCAGACACCTTTTCAACTGAGTGAACTGATCCAGCCCTCAGGCGAGCCAATATGAAAGCGCCATCTTACTGGCAAGTTGTGGTTTCAAGTGCTTGTACTACAGACCAGAAAGCCGAATAGTTTTACGAAAGTTTGATAGGAAAGTTCATGGCATAACTGAGAAAAGCCCTTTGAGTCTTTCCGTCCACTGTGAATTTCAAACCCCTCCTCTGACCTCGTGAGCATCAGGAGGAAAGGGACAGAAGGTCAGGAGGCAGATTATTGTACCTGTAAAAAGGACGAAAATCTCCCTCATGGAAATTAGGACATCTGCCTTTACTTTGAAGGACCGGAAGCTGGAGCTGCTCACACCTGGCCTTGCAAAGATAAATGGGGATTAGAGTTCTAAATCCTCTTCAGCAGATCTACCATTTTCATCCTTGCCT